TTCCATCTCCCTTTCCCAAGTCTCTCATCCTAGGGTCACCTTAGCCTAAACCTGTGTTGTCCCTTCTCTCAACTTTCTCAGGCACAAAAGGTATAGATTATACTAATTCCAGTGACAATAGGCAGGAGGTGACAGATTCCCATGAGTATGCAGTGCTGGGGGACACTCATTTCCAGGATCCCCAGGAGGTGAGATTGGGCAGGAGAAATGCTCTCACTAGACGGACCTGGAACTTGCTGTGTAGTCCAGCCTGTCCCACATTTTCCTGCCCCTGCTCCTGAAATGCTAGGGTCAGAGGCATGTCCCGTCAGAATTGGAGAAAGGGGATCTAATTTTTTTTTTTTTTGAGATTTATAATGTATACAGTATTCTGCCTGCGTGTACACCTTCATGCCAGAAGGGGGCACCAGATCTCTTTATAGATGGTTCCGGGCCATCACCATGTGGTTGCTGGGAATTGCACACTGCACCTCTGGAAGATCAGCCCGTGTGCTCTTAACCTCTGAGCCATCTCTCCAGCCCCTCTAATTCTTGTCTGGTTATTAGTTGGTGTTTTAGTTACTTTCCTATTGCTGTGAAGAGACACCGTGACCAAGGCAACTTAATGGAAGAGTTCATTGGTGCTTACAGTTTTCCGAGGGTGAATCCATGACCATGGACCACAGCAGCAGGCAGGTAGGCAGGCGTGGGGCAGTAGCTGAGAGCTTACATCTTGAGACACAACCAAAAGTCTGAGAGCTGACTGGGAATGACATGGGTTTTTGAAACCTCAAAGTCCACCCTCTCAGTAACACACCTCCACCAAAGCCACATCTCCTTACCCTTCCCAAGCCCCACCAACTAGGGACCAAGTGTAAGGATTATGCCCTTAATTACGTCACCAGTTTATGATGCCTAAAAAGCGGGTGTGCCCTCTGTGCTTTCTCTTCCTTTCTGCACTCTCTCCTTCTGTTCTCTTCCCTCCACACCGTCTCTCTGTTTCTCTCTCTCTCCGCACCCTTCCTCGTCCCAATAAAGCTCTAGAAAGGTAACCATGGCTTGTGATTCTTCCGATCAGCACTCTCCTCCGCTGGCATGGCCGCCGCGGGCAGCAGCTAGCCACGAACGCTGCAGTGTAACCAACACCAAGCATACAAATATATGAGCCCAGAGTGGGCCATTCTTATTCAAAATACCACAGTTTGTATGTCAAGGGAAGTCCACACTGACTATCCAGAAACTACATCAAAACTGTGTTTACATGTGTTACTATCTACACATAGTAGAACTCAGTTCATCAGAATTGCAAGGCAAGTACCTCTACTATTTGTGATGGTTTCAGTAGGTATGGCCTCCTTAGACTGGTGTGTTTGAATGCTTGGTCCATAGGGAGCGGCACTGTTAGGAGGTGTGGCCTTGTGGAGGAAGTGTGTCACTGTGGAGGCGGGCTTTGAGGTCTCATATACTCTCAAGCTATGCCCAGTGTGGCACACAGTCTCCTGTTACCTGTGGATCAAGACGTGGAACTCTCAGCTCCTCCTCCAGCACCATGTCTGCCTGCACGCTGCCATAACAATAATGGACGAAACCTCTGAAACTGTAAGCCAGCCTCCATTAAATGTTTTCCTTCATAAGAGCTGCCATGGTCATGGTGTCTCCTCACAGCAATAAAGCCTTAACTAAGACACTATCTGAGCCATCTTACCAACCCTTAATTTTTTTTTAAATAAAAAACTATTTTTACGGCCGGGCGGTGGTGGCGCACGCCTTTAATCCCAGCACTTGGGAGGCAGAGCCAGGCGGATCTCTGTGAGTTCGAGGCCAGCCTGGTCTACCAAGTGAGCTCCAGGAAAGGCGCAAAGCTACACAGAGAAACCCTGTCTCGAAAAACCAAAAAAAAAAAAAAAAAAAAAAACTTTTTTTTTTTTTTTTAAATAAAGTCTCAGTCATTCTTAGCTAGTCTGGAACTTCATCAATTCTCTTGCCTCAGCCTTCTGAGTGCTGGGTGACAGGATGTGTCACAATGCCTGGTTCTATTGGTTTCCTTCAACAAAACCCATCCCCATCATGTTTCCTCTATGTGCCAAACCAGTGAAAGGTGGCGTCGTCTTCACGGGGTGACTGGTAACAAAGTTCCAGCTTCTCTCCCACCATCTTCTCCTTGGCAGTATTTTATTCTTACACAGTGCAGAGAGCTAACTGGGAACAGCACAAGGTTTTGAAGCCTCGAAGTCCACCCCTTCAGTGACACACCTCCACCGAGGCATATCTTCTTATCCTTCCCAAGTCCCACCAACTAGGGACCAAGCATTCAAGTAAGGGACCCAGGCCCCTCAGCACTTAATGAAAACCAGTGAATCTAAGTGAAGCAAATATTTTATTTAAATCAGTTGTCAAATCACAATTTATCCAAAGGAACATAATGCAACATTGTTCTTAAAAGGGGCACAGATATAACACAGACACACTCCAGTATCTATCAAAATACCATTTATAAAGAACGGGACTCACTTCGTTCTGCGTATGAATTCGATCCAGCATATAAGAGTACAATCAAAAAAGTACAACAGATTTCCTTCTGCATAAGATGGAAAACACCTCACGGCCTTCGGCACACTCATCTGTCCATGTCATTAAGAGAAGGGGCTTAATCTGCCACTAAGGAGACTTCTTTCCAACCTGGACTGGATTAGAAAGAAACACGTCACAGTAATATTGGGACATTCTGGATGTTTCAAAATGGCGTTTTATTTCTGAGCTTGCTGTGCATAGGAAAATGGCCACTTTCAGAGGACGACTAACCCACGAACCTAAGCCTCAGTGAACTTTGAAAAGACTTGTACTTTCCTCCCAGGAATGTTATCTCTGTTTGCCACAGGCTATGGTTGAGGCTTGGAGCTTCTCAAAGCTTCAATATGGCTGCACACCCGTTATATATTGCATAATACAAAAGGCATGTGCTTAAACGGTAGGAAAAAATATACAATAGGTACAGGAGGAGGACTACATAAAACATACATATAAATACATAAAGGAGGTCGCTCCAGTTTGAGAAGTAGAACTAGGTATTGCCGACACTGGTTTCCAGGTTGGGAACGGTAGGACCTGAAATCAGAAGTGGATACTATCGAGGGCAAACTCAAAGGCAGTCTTGAAACAAGGGAATGTTAGCTGGCTTCTAGCTCCCGGTGAAGTCTCAGGGTTGTCAGGGGTGCTCTCCAAGGTTGAAGTCAGTTGGGCGGCCCACGCTCCCATCTCAAGGGCTCAGGCAATCTTGGTCTCCAGGTCCCGACAGCAGCGTTTTGTTCCGTGGCTTGTCTTCACATTCCGGTCTTGCAAATATACAATGCGTATACTGCAGGAGGGAGAAAGGGGAGAAATGAAACATCTCTTTTCCTCCTGCAATTCACCGACAACAGAGGGACTGCGTAAGAGCTCGGTGGGAATGGGGTGCATGGGACACCGGAACCGAACTCCATGAAAAGGATTCATTCCAACCTCAAGACCACACACATAGAAATGCATCTTACCAGAGCCAGATGTGGTGGCTCATGCCTGTAATCTGCTGACAGGGGAGACTGAAGATAGAACGATTACCTGGAGTTCAAGTTCAGCCTGGGCTACACAGCGAGACCCTGTCTCTAAAAACCAGGCGGTGGTGGCGCACGCCTTTAATCCCAGCACTCGGGAGGCAGAGCCAGGCGGATCTCTGTGAGTTCGAGGCCAGCCTGGTCTACAGAGCGAGTTCCAGGAAAGGTACCAAAACTACACAGAGAAACCCTGTCTCGAAAACAAAACAAAACAAAACAACAACAACAACAACAAAAAAGTGGAACATCAGGAATTCAAGGTTATCCTTCTCATCCTTAGCTACATAGCAAGCTCAAGGCTACCTTGGGCTAAACCAAAAGACAGCATGGCCCATATTGTGCTCCACTACTGCAAGACTAACCAGCAGAGATGCCTCCTCCGAGGGTCAGGTGCACTGCAAAGTCAAAAAATGCTTGTCAATGCTGCTGGGGGAAAGGGGGTCCACGTCTCTCCCAAACAGCTATAAACTAGCTATAAACTAGTTTTGAAAAAAAGATTTTTATCTATGTGTCTGTGTGTGAGTATACTCTGCGCATTGACAAGCTGCTGGGGGGAAGGGGGCCCACGTCTCTCCCAAACAGCTATAAACTAGCTATAAACTAGTTTTGAAAAAAAAGATTTTTATCTATGTGTCTGTGTGTGAGTATACTCTGCACTCACGGAGGTGCTGGGGGGCCAGGAGAAGGTTGAGTTGCCTTAGAGCTGGAGTTACAGGTGGTTGTGGGCTGCCTGTGGTTCGGGGGGGACTCTCCAGCTTGGCATTAGTTCTCTCTCTCTCTCTCCAAACCCCACCCTCTCAGAAAAGCCACAGGGAGTCCAGTTCTGCACAGCACTCTGTGGTGCATCCTCCCCTGAAGCTGCCAGCTCCCCAACCCCCACCCAAAGCGTTACAAGTGGGCACAAACCCAGCTTGTGGACGAAGCGTCATCACCCCGTGCCTACAGGGTACTTAAGACCCCTCCTTTAGATGCACCATGTGATTTCTCCCCTGTCCTCTTCCCCTGCCTCATCTCTGGGGGCTAGAGAGTCACCGAAAGTGCTTGGCTCAAATATACCTTTATCTATCTATCTATCTATCTATCTATCTATCTATCTATCTATCTATCTATCTATCTATCTATCTATCTATCTATC